GTTTTAGGGCAAGCACGTTTTCGGCTGTTATGGCTGCCAAAAGGGAAGCCGGTTCCTTCACTATCATGTGGGTTCTGGGGATCAAACTCAGATCTCTAAGATTGGCTGCAAATGCCTTTACCCACTGAGCTGTTTCAATGGCCTGAACACGTGTGTTCTTGCCTTTTATGATCTTCTGGAAACTGATGAGGCTCCAACCAGCATTCACTTGCATGAATAGCCAATAAATTGGACTGTCTACCTTGCATTCAGAGATCTCTTGCCTCTACTTGCTAGGTTAGAAGGCATGAGCCATCACACCTGGATCTCTAAATATTTTCTGAGGTTGGCTGAATCACAAACATGGAATCTACAGCTTTAGAGGGTTAACCACACACTATGGCTTGATCATTACTCTTCCTACTTTCACCAGCTGGCCAGTTTCCACAAACCTAGAAAGGCAAAGGTAACAACCCTGCTCCAGGAAGAGGTAGAATAAGTTAGACAGCCTAATTATTGGCTCTTCATGCTAGTGGATGCTGGTTGAAACAGCTCAGCCACTCTATAGGGCTGCACCACCAAGCCTGACTATTTCTCTTGAGTTCAGAGTCAAGACCACATATTATTCCATCAGGTGTTGGTGCACACCTTTAATCCCAGCACAGGGCAAGAAGAGGCAAGCAGATCTTAGTGAGTTTGAGGCCAGCCTGTTCTACAGAGCAAGTTCTAGAACCTGGGCTGTTACACAGAGAAACTCTGTCTCAGACTCCTGCCCACCACTACCACAAAAAGGAGAAGGAGGAGGAGGAGGAGGAGGAGGAGGAGGAGGGAGAGAGAGAGAGAGAGAGAGAGAGAGAGAGAGAGAGAGAGAGAGAGAGAGAGAGAATGAGAGAACAGATTCCTGCCCTGCTGAGGAAATGAAGACAAAGATAGAGGAAGACTTTCAGTGGCTACCTGCTGGGATAACGGGTGTGCCTGTGTGCATGACTGCCTTTTTTATTGTTTCTCCTCTCCACGAGGGTTGGTTGGCCCATCTAGCCTTGGTTGGCAAGATGTGTCAGGTACATTATCCAGTGCTGTGACAAATACCTGACAAAGCACTGGAAAGGAACATTTATTTTAGTTCATTTATTTAGTTCAAGGATACAGTCCATCATGTTTGGATGGCATGGCAGGAGCTTGAAGCATTTGGTCACAGGAAGGAAGGGAGTGGGATAAATGCTGGGACTCCGCTTCTTTCTCCCTTTTTGCTCAGCACAGGACTCCAGCCCATGGGATATCACTGCCCATCTTTGGAGTGCCTTCCCACCTCATTTCACGGTATCTAGAAGCTTCCTTACTGACATGCCCAGAGGTTTGTTTTCATGGTGATTCTGAATACTGTCAAGTTGGCTGTTGGTATTCAGTCACTCCAGGTGTGTTGGTACAGATCTGTAACCCCGCACTCAGGAGCCTCAGGTGGGAGGATCTCTCCTTTGGAGCCAGCCTGAGCTACATTGTTAAAAAGTAAACATGGAAAAAAAATAAAAAAGACTCCTGTGTAGGGAGTAGTCTGACTATCAAAAGCCCCTTTCTGTGGCCTGAATGTGATATGGAGAGTAATAGGGATACCAGTACCCCTGTGCCCCAACACTCTGCCATCTTAGAAACCTCCCACAAGGAAGGCATGTCTTTTGAGTTGTGTGGTCAACCTTGTGACTTGGCATTGTGAGTGTCTGCCTTTCTGGAAAGCAGGGGTCAGAGCTACCCGATGAGAAAAGGGGCCAATACTGCCTGCTGCCTTTCACAGGGATACAAGTGAAGGTTTCTCTGTGTTAGCATCTCAGCCCTGAGTAGACCCCCACTAGCTGCAGCTGGCTCTGAATGTCTGTTTTAGTCCAGTTCTGTGAGACAGATTTTCCTAGAATCCTACGTCAAAGCAGGTCCTGACCGCCTCTTGGTCTGATTTTGTGAGCACTTGACAGAAGGTGTGTGGGCTTGTCGAAGATGAAGACAAGGTTGAACAGACACAACCAGCCCTGAATACATAATGTGTTTGAAATATTTAATACAGTGTTCTTGAGGACAGCAGAGTTAAATCTGTTCTTTACTGTCAGATACCAAAGAAGATAAAGGCCAGGGGTGTGGCCTAGAAGTACAGTCCTACAACAGTACAGTAGAACTGCCTACTGAGGCTGGGAGTACTCAACCTTAGAGAGCCTGCCTAGAACTCCCAGTGCTGGACTGGAGGAATGGCTCAGTGGCACAGCACCTATCTACCATGTAGGAAATCCCGGGTAATATTTCTCAGCGTCACCCATTAAGGACATATAAGGAGAGAAGTCCCACTGCTGGAAAAGAATGTCTAAAATCCGAGCAGTGGGCTGCATAACGAAAGAACAGATAGATAACTTCAGATTGAGGCTGGCCCAGTGTTTTTTCTTGAGGCTGTGACAGCAAACGGAAGCTGACAGGAAGCTGATTGGCCTGAGTTGTGACTCAGGCATTTCTGGTTAAGTTGTGACTAGAGCAGCAAGCACACTCAGTCACAGGACTATGGGGAAATAGTAGGGTGGCCTGCTCCAGGTTCAAGACCTCATGCTTTTTAGCTGTGCCCCAGATCAGCTCTTCCTACCTGCCAGGTTTATGCTGGAAAGACCAGCTAAGCACCCCAAGACCAACTCAGATTTGGTGTTTCCCCAGGACTGAGAACTGAGGAAAGCTTTTTCCTTAGGATTTCAGCTTATTGCCGAGTGAGGATGAAGACTGAAGCATGGCAGGTGGGGTGTGGGAAAAGCTAGGGCTGCCTTTCCAGTTAGCCTTGCCTTTTGGGGTCACATGAACAGCATTTCCTTCTCTTGACAATGATGGATGACTTCCTGTGGGAAGCAGAGATGGTTCTACTTTACAATATGAAAAGTCAGCATGTTAGTATCTCATAGGCTTTAGGGAAGTGATTTGTTCAACAGAGAGAGAGAGAGAGAGAGGAGAGAGAGAGAACAGCCTCAAGAATTGTTCCTTAGGTAAGCCAACTACCTGATTTTGAAACATGGCCTCTCATTAGCCTGGAGCTCACCAGTTAGGCCAGGCTGCCTGGTCAGCAAGCCCCAGGAGGCCTCTTGCCTTTTACCACCCCAGCACTGGGGTTACTACCATATCTGACTTTAGAAGTTTTTATTTTTATTTGTGTATGAGTGTGTGTATGCTAATGCACCCATGTGGAGGTCAGAGGGCAACTTTTAGGATTCCATTCTCTCCTTCTACTGTGGGTCCCAGGGATGGAACTCCTTCAGGTCATCAGGCTTGCATAGCCTGATGAGCCATCTTACCTGCTGAGCCATCTCACCAATATCCAGGTTGTTTTGTTTTAAATATGGGCTCTGGGGGTTGAGCTCAGTTCCTCAGACTCGAAAGGCAAGCAAGCACTTAGCGCCTCCCCTTAAATGTATTTTCAGTGTATGATATAGTTCTCAGGACCTGATCCCAGCATCAATTGAGAACCATAGATGTTCCTAGAGCTTCAGCATCCAGGGTATTATGGGAATGAGTCTTGCAGATATAAATGCCTGGACTGTGTTGCTAGGATCTGTGAATGTCAAAGTAACCCAGGGTTTCTAAGTGCCAGGGTGCCGAGCTGTGTGTTCACCGTAAGCCCTGTTAGTTTCATCCATTCTTGAGACCCAGGGGCTCTTCAAGGGCCAGTTTCAAAGACTTAGGACAACTCAACAGCCCAGCCTTTGGGGTAAAGTAGCTATCTGGGGTCTTAGCCCATGCCTTTGTGGGGTTGTGTAGGTGTCTCTGCAAACACCATGGCCACAGAGTGTTGATCCAGGGAAGGCAAGAGGGAAATTCAGTTCAATACCACTCAGTAGCCGGTATTGGTTCAAACTTGAGGTAGTTTATTTTAGTCATATTTAAGCAGAGTACAATTTCGGAAAATTGTCCTGGTGATAATTAACTCAATCCTGTATATACAACAAAGCTTACATGATTATATTGAAAACTTTTGTAAAGTACAAGTGACTTTTTCCATAAAGATAGGTCCTCTAGATTAACTAAAGAAGCAGGCTAAAGGTAAAAATGCTCATGATAAGGGTCACCAGAAGGATAGCACTATAGATTGACTGAGATAAACTTAAGAGTCGGGGGGAGGGTTTGGCTGGGCCATACACATAGCACAGAGGTTACCAGGCCACTACATCCATTCATAGCCTTCTGGGCAGAAAACAGGTTATATATCTTTCCCTTTGAAGAGACAAACATGTATGTTTAACCTTCTTGGTTTCCCTGGTGCTTAACTGTGAGCACAAGGACCTCCATGTTTCCTACAGGGTTGGAGATGCTCAGGGACACTGGGACCCCATGGCTTCTATTCTCATTGTTGGCTAAGGGGCTCATCCTACCCTTGGCAGAGCCAACACCTTTGAGGTAGTTTACCAAGTTGGCTCTTTCCTAGGCTGTAGCTGCCTGGACTGAAGCCTTGCTGAGTCAGCCACCCTTACTCAGTCCATGCAGCCCCCATGCTGAAATGTTCAGATGTGTGCATCAGCCAGCCCCAGGGGCACTTTACCCCTCCTCACTGACATCTGCCATTTCTCTTTCCTGACAGTTCTGTTGCTGACAATGGGGGGCTCTCACAAAGACTCCAGTGCCACCATGGCCGAGGCAGTGGCCGAAGAAGTGTCTCTTTTCAGCACGACGGACTTGGTTCTGTTTTCTCTCATTGTGGGGGTCCTGACCTACTGGTTCATCTTTAGAAAGAAGAAAGAAGAAATACCAGAGTTCAGCAAGATCCCAACAACGTGAGTGGCGCCCCTCAGAGTCCCCTTGGTCACTCCTTTTGCTGGGCATCCTTGGCACCTCGTCCTTCCATGCTGTTTCCTGTGTTGGAACTATAGGCTATAAGAAGCAAGATTCCTGGCATTTGAGGCTTGAGTTTGGTGTGACCCTATGGGTAGATTATGCTTTAAGTCCTCCTTAGTAATAAAACATACCACACACATACACGTGGAAGGACAAAGCAGAACTGGATTTGGTATTAGCCAATGTCTCCTGAGGTCTTTGCCCACTGGTTCCCAAACCCTTGCAGGATTTGTGGTTGTGACTGAAATAGACTCTCATTGATTTATAGTCTGTTGCTGAGCCAACCTGTTGAAATATTGAACCTTGTTCTCTCTCTGTTTCTTGGTCTACTTAGTGGCCAGAGGGCCACTCTCCTGGGCTCTGTGAACACTTGATGAGGTCATAGCACAAACTTGCCCACAGGGCCTGAGTTGTCCTTGCTACTTACTGCATGTGTTAGTGTCATTGTATAGTTTGAACCAAGCATCCTAAGGACCACTGAGGATGGCATCCTAAGGATGCCATTATGTAAGAGAAGCTGAGGCCTGCAATCCAAGCAATTAAGTGGAGGCAGGAGGATTGGGGGCTCAGGGTCATGCTAAGCTATGTGCTGGCCTGAGCTGTCTGAGCCTCTACCTTAAAAAGGAAATGTAGACTGTGAGAGTATGGGAAGTGGAAGTACTTTGTAGGAAGGAGTTTACTTTAATATGCATTGCCTGGCTAAGTGTTCACCTTCTGCCTCTTCTCTCCTCACCCTAGGCAGTGATGGGCCCAGGGCCTGATGTCTAAAACCTAGCAGCGCTAGACTAAGGGACACATTCCAGGACTTGCCTCTGCACAGGAGCTTGGACCCTGTCCTGCAGGTTGGGTCACACTGGAGGCTGAGGACATAGGAAGGGCGAGTGAGTTGGAATTCACCTGGTCAGAATGCATTGTGGGTGACGGGAGAGCCATGAAGAGAAGGTGAAGGGTGACCTGGTCCCAGTTTCCAAGCTGACCCATGTCCCACTGTCTGCTTTGAGCAAGACTGGGGCCAGGAGCTGCCTCCTGCTTCACCATCACCTGCTTATTCTCACCATTGCTGGCCCTGGCCTTGTAAGCACCTAAACATGATGGCCAAGCCTCAAAACCCAGGCCTATGCCAACCACCCAGGAGACTAAGGCAGGACAGTCACCTCATCCACAGAGCAGGCTGAAGACTTGTCTGCACAACTTAACAGAGAGCTTGTCTCAAAAACAAAAAACAGGGTCATGAAAATAGCTTGTTGGGTAAAGGCACTTGCCACCAAGGCTGGCAACCTGAGTTCCATCCCTAAGACTCACAAGGCAAAAGGATAGAACCAGTTCCTCCCCCCCTCTCTCTTTCTCTTTCTTTCTTTCTTTCTTTCTTTCTCTCTCTCTCTCTCTCTCTCTCTCTCTCTCTCTCTCTCTCACACACACACACACACACACCACTATAAATGAATGTAATTTTAAAATAAAAAGTCAAAGCCTGAAGCAAATCTGTAATCCCAGAACTCAGAAGGTGGTGGGTGCCAGAAAGATCAGGAGTTGGGTTACTCTCAGCTATATAGCAAATTTGAGGCCAGCCTGGGCTACATGAGATCATGTCTCAAAAACGAAAGCAAAAACCAGCTGAGAAATGAGGGTGATGAGAGGTACTTTGTAGAAACAGGTTATAAAATACTCTAGTGTGCCTTGTTGTCTAAGCCTGTGCTGCAGTCCTGATATAGGCTGGTTGGCACCTTTAGCTCTCCTCCCTGAAGCTTGACAGATCCCCAGCCTGGTGGCTGGGCATCTTCAGGGTGAGACTTGGAGACATATTGCCAGAGGACAAGAAAGGGTTTCCCTCAGCATAAGAATCCAGGACCCTTGCCAGGCATTGGTGGTGCAGGCCTTTAATCCCAGCACTCCGGAGGCAGAGGCAGGGGGATCCCTGTGAGTTCGAGGCCAGCCCGGTCTCCAGAGCCAGTGCCAGGACAGGTTCCAAAGCTACACAGAGAAACCCTGTCTCTAAAAAACAGGGAAAAAAAAAAAAAAAAAACAATCCAGGACCCTGTCCTGGAAGTAGAGCCACACCTAGGCTACTGGTGCTAAGGGAGGAACTGGTGAGCTAGAATCCAGGCTCCAGCCTGGGCTGTGGGTGGGAACATCCCTGGGGTGGGATCACTATTTGTGATGAAAATGTGACCACCTGAAGATAAAGGGACCAATAGCCTGGTACCAACTTGTTCTGCCATTTATAAAATGGATGGGCATAGAATGGATGCTGCTCCCCAAGAAATATGAGATGCAGAACCACCCAACCTTTTTCAGGGGATAGTCTCAGATACAGAGCAAGGTCAAGGCCAACCTAGGCAACTTTAGCAAGACCCTGATTCAAAAACCAAAGTTGCTAGCCTTGGTGGCACACACCTGTAGCCCCAGCACTTGAGAGATGGAGGTAGGAAGAAGAACAAGACTCAAGGTGGACAGGCAAGGGGGCATCCAACACTTGGGAAGCAGAGGCATATATGGTTGGTTGGTTTTTGGTTTGGGTTTTTGGTTTTTTTGAGACAGGTCTCACAGTGTAACCCATACTGGCCTCAAACTCACAGTGATCCTCTCTGTCTTTCCATTTCTGGGATCAAAGGCATGTGTCACAGGATCTATTAGGCTTTATATATATATTTATTTATTTATTGATGTAGTCTTTAGTTTTTGTTTTTCAGGATATAGGGTCTTTGTGTAACAGTGCTAGCTATCCTGGAATTCACTCTGTAGACCAGGCTGGCCTTGAACTCACAGAGTCCACCTGACTCTGCCTCTCCAGTGCTGGGACCAAAGGTGTGTGCTACCAATGCCCAGCTTATTTTTGTCTTTTTAATGCAGGATTTGGCTGTCCTAGAACTCCATAGACCAGGCTGGCCTTGAACTTTATAGATATTTGCCTGTCTCTGCCTCCCAAGTGCTGGAATAAAGGCTCCCCACTCCCCCCCAGCATTATCATATATTCTTATCATGGCTTCTGATGACTTCGAGAAATGATATCATAAAGTCTTTGAAGGTCGTAGATGGGTGTTGCATGCTGTGGAGCATCAAAGTATTTTTTTGTGTGTGTGTTTACATAGATGTGTGCCATGGTGCATGTGTGCATACATTGAAGTCAGAGGACAATGTGCAGGAGTCAGTTCTCTTCTTCCACCATGGGGGTCCTAGGGATCCAACTCAGGCCATTAGGCTCATTGGCAGACACTTCTACTCACTGAGTCATCTCTGATCTCATATGTCTTTGGAGGGCAAGTCTCACGTAGCCAGGCCAACCTCTGACTCGCTGTTGGATTCTGATCCTCCTGCCTCCACCCACCGGGTGCTAGTACTACAGTTGTGCACTACCTCACCTGGTTTATGTGATAGTCAGCACCAAAAAGCCAGCAGGGGGAGGAGCAGTTTTGTGCAAATTAGGCAAATGCTCTCTCAAACTATATTACATCCCTAGCCCCAAGGGTATGGATGTTTATACAAGCAAAAATAACAAAGCCAGCTGTGGTCTGGCCAGCCCAGCAAGCACTCAGAGCACAAGTCAAGAGGTTCCCCTGGGTACCCAGGTGACTCTCCCTGAGAGTGCAAACCTTTGTGGCCCTCCCACAGATCCAAATGTAGCTCTCTGAACACTGTCCCTGCTGCCACTGACCACGTGTGGCCAATAGACACCAGAGCCCAGAAGCACCTACTTCCCTGGGCCAGGTCAGCATCACTTTGGCATGAAGCCAGTTTAACCCTCCTGGGGCTGAGAGAGGGAGTACTGCCCCAAATTTTGTCTTGAATACCTCTTTTGGGCAGAGTTCCTGCTGAGAGCAGTGTCCTACAAGAGAGTGGAGCTTGTAGCCTATCCCAGACCTCACTGGTGCAAAGAGAAGGGTGGAGGTGGTGGGTACTTCTGAAAATCTTGACTCACAGTCTCAAACATCTGTGCCAAAGCCTCAGAACACAGATCCTCTGGGGTACACTATCTTGGGGCCAAAGGTATGCAAAGTTAGGGAACCTAAAAGGTGGGGATTGATTCTGATTTGGGATGGGGAAAGGGTTCTGGAAAGGGTTGAAGCATGACTCCAGCTCCAGAGGCAGAGCAGGGTTTGGGTAGCAGTAGTGATGTCCATAGGTGGAGGTGCTGGGGTGGTGGGGGAGTGTGGGAAGTGTAGTTAGGAGGGCAGGGTGGGGACGGATACCAGAGGGCTATGGGAGCGGCAAAATGACCAACCCTGATTTCTCAATGGTGCACCAGGTAATAGGGAAGGCGGAGAGAGTGCAAGGGCAGGGAGGAGTCTGGAGAAGCCATTTCAGGATGTGGTCCCCTGAGAAGTGATGCTGTCCCAAGAGAGGGCCCCTGAGCGGAGCATAATTAAAGTTGATGGTTAGGCTTTGGGTGCCTAGAATAGATGGAAGGGCGTTGGCTGGAACATGTAGGCTGGAACAGTATTGGGTTTTGTTTGTTTGGAGTGGTTTTGTTGTTGTTGTTATTGTTGTTGTTGTTGTTTTTTCTTGGCTGAAGCAGGTTTGAGAAGGAGAGTCAGAGAGATAGAGTTTGGGGATCCCCTAGAACATTGGGTAGGGCTTGTTAGGGCTATGGATTAAAGGAAATCAGAGTTCAGAGACTGCCTCCTTCAGAAGCAATGGGGGGTGGGGTATGGCTGGAGAGAAGATAGGGGTTTTCTAAGGGAAAGGGTTAAGCCAATTGGGGTGGTACACACCTGTAATCCCAGACTGAGGCCAAAGAGTCTGGGATTTGAGGAGATGGTTCAGAGAGCTAAAGTGTCTGATGTGCAATCATGGGACCCAAGACAGGGTCCCCAGCACCGGTGTAATGAAAGCCAAGTATGGCTTTGCATTGCTCTAACCAAACACTGATTGCCCGAGCTCAGAGGACAGCTCTCTCCCTTCACCATGTGCATTCCAGATTGAACTCCCATCATCAGGCCTA